CTATTGGCTCTTTCCATTTGTACAGAGTATACCCAGGACTACAGGCTACATTCTGTGTTAACTCTAGAGAGCAACCCTAGAACTAGGTAAATGTTTCCAATAAGCAGCTTTCGGATCAGTAGAAATAAAACCAAAATGCTTTGAGCATTCCAAAAAATGGAATGGGGCTTCTAAGTGAGTGAGGTAGTAACTTCCTGATCCTTGGGTATGTTTAAGCAGGAACTATATTGCCAGGTTTAAGAAATGAGTAGAAGAGATTCCTGCAGTAGGGGGGAGGTTGGATGAGAATCTCTAAAGTTTAGGATTCTTTTTGTTCTAAAGAACTTTTTAATTGCCTTCAACACCTAACCTTTTTGGGCATATAGTAAGTGTCCAGTAAATATCAATTGATTGATTAAATATAACTCATCAGTTGTAAGAGTCTAAAGGACTCTGTGATATTCATATTGGTGTCCCTAACATATAATAATAATAATAGGTAGCATTTATATAGAGCTTTAAAATATTAAAAGGTAGGTGCTAATATTATCCCCATTTAATGAATGAAGAAACTGGGGCAGACAAGTTAAGCAGTTTGCCCAGGGTCACACAGCTAGTAAGTGTTGGAGGATGGATTTGAACTCAGGTCTTCCTTCCTAATTCCAGGGGCCATTCTATGGGCTGTACCACCTAGCTGCCTCTACATAGTGCCTAACATAGTGCTTTGCAGATGCAAATCTCTCAGTGACTTTTTTGATGAATGAATAAATGAATGAAAGTGAATAAATTCAAATGAATGAATAACTCAGCAGTATTTTTCATGCAAATTACTTGCTACACTTATCACCTTAACTTTGAACTTTTCTTTTGTAACTCTATGTGATTCTTTGTCACATAAGTTTAGATTATTGTTTGTCCTTCATTCTTTTTTTGGGGGGGGGTTAGGCAATGGGGTTAAGTGACTTGCCCAGGGTCACACAGCTAGTAAGTGTTAAGTGTCTGAGGCCCTGAGTCCGGATTTGAACTCAGGTCCTCTTGCCTCTAGGGCTCTGTGCCACCTAGCTGCCCCTGGCCTTCAGTCTGGAAAAGGACCATGACATCAGGAAGATGAAGCCATGACTTACAAATGAATTAGATTTAAGTGAGGGAGGGCTGTGCAAGGTCACCAGCCTCACTTTCTCCTCTGGAGCCATCTGGGTCCAGTGGCAAGATATAGATCAGAATGACTGGAGATGGCCCCTATGGGCTTAAAGCATGTTGCTGGAAATATAGGAGATTAGCTGAATATGTTACCTTTTGCTTTCCATGGATCTCATTTAAATATTTCATTTAATTTTATGTAACTTTTAAAAATGTCATTTCCCCCAAGCATATTTGCATAGTCTTATGAATGGCTGAAGGGAGGATGCCTGAGAATTTTACTTTTGTCTTTCCCCTACATGCCTTGTAGGCATCTGCTTCCTAATTGAAGAGAATAAGTTACAAAACTAATATCTCTCCTGGGGTGTCACCTTTAGATGCCATGAGTCATTGCTCTTCCCTTCACAATCCGGCCAGATTTGTTTTCAAAGCATTATCAGCCTTGTCTTTGGCTTAAGTTTGTTAAAGCCAAGCAGCATTTATCATGCCAATTAGTAATTAATCTGCTTCTTGTATATATATTCTAAGGGTGTGGATCCTTTTTTCATTTAAAATGTAATAGCAAATTATATAAGACAAGGAAAATTTAAGTAGTTACAGAAATAAGTTTTCAAACTGAGACCATGCCCTAGGACTTGAGCTGTCCTATTACCTCCAGGATCAAATATAAAGTCCTCTGTTTGGCGTTAATATCTCTTTATAACCTGGATCCTTCTTATCTTTCTTGTCTTCCCACACTTTTCTTCCCTCCATGCCAGCTATACTGGCCTACTTTGAAGTTCCTCAAACATGATGATCCATTTTCCTATGTATGCCTTTGCATTGGCTGTCCCCGAATCCTTGAATGCTCTGTCCCCTCACCTATGCCTCTTGGTCTCTTCGGTTTCCATCAAAACCATATCTGTATGGAAGCCAGGTAAACCGATAAGCGTAGGCAAGGGGGCATTGATACATATATTTATATACATACATTGTATACATATATCTTGTATATACCTAATAAATTAACCTTGTATCCTCTGCAAAGAAGGGAGCATGGTGCATTTTCTCAATAGAATTATTTTGAATAATTCTACTTCCTTCAGGGAAGATTGGAAGGGAAAAAAAGAAGACACAAGTTTAAATACCACTTGACTTTTTTTTTTTGAGAGATATAAGCTATCCAAATTATTCTGAAATTTTAAGAAGGCAAACAAAATTAGTGTTTGCTAAATAATTAATGTCTATTACAACTGACATCATAAAATAAGTCAAATTTATGAAACATCATTGTATTTTTACATGTTATATGTACACTTTATTTACAATGGATTTATGCTTATTTTACAGAACTTCATAGATTTTCTTATATTAAACCCTTACATGTTTTATCTCCCAGAAGAATGTAAGATCTTGGAGGACATTCATTTGTTTTTATAATCTCAGCCTTTGTACATCACCAGTACTTATTAAGTATTTTTTAAATTGAAAGAAAAGTGCATTGGGCTGGGATTCTGGTTACCTGGGTTCTCTTTCTGTCTATTAACGAGCTTTGTGAATTTGAAGAAGTCACTTCATCTATTTGGGTCCTTTTCCTCCATTACTTCAATTATTTCTAACACTAAACACTATGCCTAATCCTTAATAGGAACTTAATAAATGTTTATTAACTGTAGATTGATTCAGGCACAATCTTATAATTTTGCATAATTAGAGGCAGAGGTATAATTTGTTGTCAGAGATTTAGTTTGCACTGAATGTAAATGCCAGTTGTGCTTATGGGAAGTAAATGATCTGCCTTACGATATAGTTTTCATTTTGTTATAAAGTGGGAATGTATGGAAATATGTTTAGTATGATTGTACATGTATAGCTTATATCAGATTGCTTGCCATCTTGGTGGGGTGGGGGGAGTGAAGTGGAGAGAAAAAAAACTCAAAATCTAACAAGAGAGAATGTTGAAAACTATCTTTACATGTAATTGGAAAAAAATAAAATACTATGAAGTGGAAAAAATATTTTTTAAAAAGTGGGGATGATCTGAACTCTGTGAATGTAAAGCAATTATTTTATGACAATCTACTGTTTCATAATACTCATGGCTATAAAACTGAGAGGGCTTCCTGGAAATTCATTCAGGGCTTTGTTTCCCTACCTTATTCCCCCATTATGCTTGCATTTTGTCAGCAAAAAAAGAAAACAGCTGGAGAGTAGGGGTGGAATGTCTTGCTGAGATAGAAGACAAATTAATAAAACTAGAACAAATCAACTTCCTGCAAGTCTTCATCTAAAATGTAGGTTTTAAATAGTCTTTTGATATCACATAATTCTTGCAAACAGGAAATCCTTTCCAATAACTCATTGAAATCCATTCTGTTGTAAGCCCATTCTTTCTTGATCATACCCTGGGGACTTACTACCATACCACCATATGTAGACTGTATCAGAGTCATAAAATCTTATTGTAGGAAAGAACCTCAGAGCCCATCTAGGCCAGTTGTCTCATTTCCAATATGATGAAACTGAAGCTCAGAGAAAGTAAGTGACTTTCCCAAAGACACCCAATGAATTAGTGGCAGATCTAGAAGTAGAATGAACTGGCCCTCAGCCTATGGTCTTTGTACCTTATTACATTGCCTTTCATATATAGTTGAAGGTCATAGAAAATCTGCCTTCAGCCTTCTCTTCTTCCAGTAAAATAGTCCCAAATTATTTAGTCTTTCCTATTTGCTAGTACTTTATCTGACTTCTCTCTTTTATCACATTGCATTAAAAACAATTAGAGAGGATTCTGAGTTGTATATATCCTTAAAAGCCAGCTAACTATCTACTGAGTTATCTAAGAGATGACAGAGCAGGCATTCTTTTGAAGAACTCTTCCCCTGCTAGCAAAAGGAGAAATCATAATGAAATCTTTCTACCATCAATTCAAACCAGTAAGCACTTATTAAATACCTATTCTGTGGCTGGCACTGTACCAAGTACTGGTGTTACAAAGACAAAAATCATTTGTAACTTTCAGGACAGTAGTTTCAGTCAAGTGATGAGGTTGGAAGAAGTGAATGTGGTGTGAACAAATGAAGGCAATGAATTTTGACAATCTTTTCTAGGAGTTTCTTAAAGAAATGGGAAATATAGGGTAGCTGGAGGGGATGGTAATGTTGTATGAAGATCTTTATTTTTCTTAAAGACAGGAGATTTAGGCATATTTTTACTCTTCAAAGCATCATAACACCTCAGAGTTAGAAGGCATCTCAGAGGTCATCTAGAGTAACCTAAATCTGAACAAGAATCCCCACTATAACATACCTAACAAGTGGTCAACCAGTCTTTGAAGATCTGTGAGGGAGAACCCCTCTACCTCCAAAGGAACTCATTCTACCTTTAGATAGCTCAGTTAGGAAGTTTTCACTTCATCAGTCCCATTTGATTCCTTGAATTTTCCACCCTTGCTTCTAGTTCTGCTTCTAAGGATATGCAGATCATGTCTAATCCTTCTTCCAGATCATAGCTTTTCAGATATTAGAAGATTGTCCTCCTCTTCCTCTCTTAGTCTTCCCTTCTCCAGGCTAAACACTCCCTCCCCCATCCTAAACTATATAAACAATTATGCCCCTTTTAAAATTAGGGCTCAACGCAATCTGAAACAATTTTTACAGTGTTGAAGAATTTAAGTCATCTGGACAAATTCCTAACTGCTGAAAATTAGTGCAACTCTAATAGAAATTGAACGTTAAATCTCACAAGTTCTATTTCTCTTATAAAATGAAGGGTTTGGACTATGTAATTTGTGGTCCCTTCTAAGATCCTATCATTCTGTTGGTTAAGAAAATGAGGTGGGGACTTTTTGGAATGGTGGTGGGCTCCTTATAAGTCATAGGCTGATTGCATTTTAATCACAGGTTCATTGCAGAAGAATCTACTGCTGCTGGGGAAAAGTGTGTCCTTACCGACAGCCCTACCTGGATCATTGACCCTATTGATGGTACTTGCAACTTTGTACACAGGTATGCATAAGGTCATGAGAAGTCTTAAATTCCTGTTTGTAATTCTTTTTTATAATACTGGTTTCATTCTCCTAGAAGCAGTATTTTTTAAGATTGAAATCTGTGAACAAAAAATTATTAAACTATAGCCTGAATATTATTGATTCAAGCCCTATTTCTGACATGTCATGGCTATGTGAAATTATGAAAATCACAGTAACCTTTCAGTGTTCTAGGCAACTCTGTTAAGACTGAGATTATATTCTACTCATTGTTAGGTTCATTTTCATAACGTGAGTCATTTATCATCAAATTGTTTGGCTGCTCATCTATCCATAGGCATCTTTACAATTTACATGTGTAACTGTGCTGTATTGAATACAATTCAGTTCAATTTAGCAAACATTTATTAAGCACTTACTATGTGCAGGGCATCTTTATAGGTGCCATGAAAAAGATGCTTCCTCCAAATGGTTTACATTTACACTGAGCATACAGGGCTGAATACAAAAGATACATTTAGAGGTCTTTGTATTCCATACAGGCTTCTAGACTATCCTAAAGAAGTAAGGGGGAGGGATAGAGAGCTTAAGAATACAGGCATGAACTGAATTTAGGGATTGGCAGAGAACTAAAAGGAGATAAAAGCTATGGTTACATGAATTATACAGGTCCAAAGCCTCCAAACGACTTTTGGCGATTCATATACAAGATTTCCATCCTTTTTAGTGATCATTGATATTGAGACATAGAGAGGCATCTTTGTCAGAATTGGAATTTAAATAATGGCTTTAGGTGTCAACATTCTTCTGGGAAAATATTCTGCTCTTTTCTTTTATTGGCAAAAATGTTTATAATTACCAAACTGGGATTTGGTTTTGTTTTTTCATTTAATTCAATTACTCTAAACCTTTTCTAGCCTTGCAGCCCTAAATTAGACACTAGTAAGGTTTTGAATTCCTAAGGCCTAAAAGGAAGTTAAAATAGATAATGTTAATTTTAATTTGTGTAATTTATGTTTATCAGTGATTATTCAAAGACCTTACAAACAGAAAGCTGCAACATAAAATGAAGGAGTCAATCATGCCATACAACTTTGCTGATGTGCAGGCTATGTATGAGACATAGCTTGGGTCTCTGGCTTCCTAAGATCCCAGCAAAGTATTAAATATGTAGAGCTGCTGAGCAGTGATCCATCTCAAGGATGTTATTGGGAGGCAGGCTAGCACTTTATCACCACTATTGTTGTGGTTGAGTAATGACTGACCCCAGAGCACATCTCTTTTCCTACCTGGTACCTCCATACCCAGAAAAGCTCTTCATTCACTCCCCTGTACATTTG